ACGAAGTAATTTTACCCCAAGCTGAGGACATGGCTCAATATTTAGCTTCTGTAGAAGATTTTGACACAGTTTGTTATTTCTTACATTTCCATGATATGAGATAATCTCCAAGAAATATACACCACCCAGTGGTTGAACGTTGAGTATCTAGGCAGACTGCCCAATCCGCATCAGCATAAACTCATAATTGGAGCGAAGAGTTAGATGATAAGAATATGCATCTATGGCATGTACCCCGCATATAACGAATGATACGATGGACAGCCGAGAGGTGGATGCAACGGGGATCTACAATAAATTGGCTGACGACCTGTACTACATGAGATATATCAAGACGAGTCATAGTGAGATAAAGTAGACTGTCAACCAGTTGTTTATAAAGATTGGGATCTGAAAGTTTGTCGCCATCATCCTTTCTATATTTTACATTCACTTCCATTGGTGTATCCACCCGTTTATCATCAGATAAGTTGGCCAGTTTAATCAAGTCTTTTGTGTACTTATTTTGGTTGACTATATATCCATTAGGGGAATAATGAATCTCTAAGTCAAGAAAATAAGTTAACATACCCAAATCTTTCATTTTGAATGAGTGACTAAGAAGCCCTTTCAAGTGTCTTATGTTATCAAGGTTTTTTCCTATAATGAGAATATTGTCAACATATAAGAGAATGATTCCTATCCCTGAAGAACAATGGTGAGTAAATAACAAATAGTCATGCGCAGTTTGTTTCAATTCAGCATTCAGAACATGACCTGTCGAAATTATTCACACCAAGCATTTGGAGCTTATTTTAAACCAAACAAGGATTTTTTCAAGTGACATACTATAGACTTGTCATAGCAAAACCCAGGATGAGGTTGCATATGTATTGTTTCTTTCAAATATCCAAGAAGAAATGGATGGTCAATATGGATGCTATTATGGGTGTATCCAAGAAGATCTTCAACTACCTCTACAGTATTATCATGATATAAGAACCACCACAAGAAATTGTCGGCACCAAGGATTGGTGGTATGGTAGAGAGAGAAAACAAGGATGAGAGGAACTCTTTGAGAAATAATTGTACCCCACGCAATTTCTTGTGGTGGTTCTTTCATTGTATGTATAATTGTAATACAATGGTGTAGTATGTACTTTCCTATCTTGTTACATGCAATATACACTTTCCTATTTATGTAACATTCTACATTCTACATTCAATTAGAAACAACATTTCTCGACACTATTTGAATGTGCGTTTTACTTTGATCTTTTAAAGCCTTGGCCCTGTACAAACCGCACCCATATTTTAATATCCATGTCTCTTTTTTTGTATTTTTATCTCCCCAAAATACCCCTAATTCAAAAGTATTAGTTCCAAAACACTTTGATCAATATTGTCGGTGGTTTAGAACTAGTAGTTCTTGACCCCTTTGATCTATACTTTTTGTAAGGAATCAAATCAGTCTGATTAGTTTCAAACTACTTTGGTTCATTACAATAGTTTTGAACCGCATTAATTTGTACATTTTGTAAGAAATAAAAACGGCTAGAAAACATTAATTCTAATTTCCATACTGCTTTAATTCCTTACAAAGGGTGTGTTTTGCATAAAGTCGAGGCTCTAAACAATCAAAGTAGAGCACACCTTCAAATAGTGTCGAGAAATATGGTTTCAATACTGAAAATATTTGTGATAGTCTTTAAATAAATTTTCATCTCTAATTATAAAATTTAAAGCTTCAAAAATATTGTAGATCGAGCAGATCTCTAAAAACTTGAAATATTGAAAATTGACGATCCAAATTGCATTACAAGATGTACTATTTCCAAAAGTTGAAATCCATTTTTTTTCTCATGTCCATGCATCTTGATGTGCAGATGATCAATTTAAAGATATTTGGACATCAAAACAACCTCTTATAGTGATATTTTGAGGTGTGCTCTAATTTGATTGTTTAGAGCTTCAGCTCAATATAACATTTTTTCATTTTTGGAAAGAATAGAAAAACACGAGAAAAAATGAGACGTAAGGTAAAATGTAGAGTTCAACGGTCATTTTCATTATTTTGTGAATTGGGGGACACATTAGCGTCCTTGATGCACAAGGCATGCATCTTAAAGATGGATGGAAAAGAGTGGTGGTCCTACCAAAAGAATAAAACTTCCTGTTTAAAATTAGAGTAATGATCCCATAGGACCCTCCCTCACTCATGTGTGTAGGACTCCAAAGGATCACTATTAAAGTTGGTACGGGTCTCTAAAAAAGTTATCATATGGGTGTACGACTTGACTTCTCTATAAATTCGCATCAAATTTAATGGTGATCTTTTGAGGTCCTACACACATGGATTTTGGAGGGTCCTATAGGATTATTTCTCTTAAAATTATTTTTCAAAACAAATTTTTAAATTTTTTAATTTACTTTTATATATTAATGATCTCCATGTTAGATATTATATATTCTCAAACAATTGAGTTCAAAATCCATTTCGAAAATGGATCATGGTGAGAGGACTCACATCTACATATGAGTCGGTGGACATATACAAACTTTGTCCTTTCTATAACACTACAAAAAAATTACTCGAATCATATTTTTGGAATAAAAAGTTGAAATCTGAAATTAAAGCGGAGAGCATATGCTCCCTTGGGAGCATATTATTCATATTACTCCTTTGGGTAAAACACTTTGGAGATTTTTTTGATTTAGAAATTTGACATCCATCTTATTATAACTAACTAGATAATTATTTTAAAAATATAAAACTTTGAGTTATTGAATGTCTAGAATTGGATGGTTCCCGTTCAATATCGGGTTATTATCTTTCTTAGGCACTTAAAGAGGGTTTTTTTTTTTTCTTTAGTAACGTTAGTTACCCACTTCTAGAGATCACATCCCCTAACTTTGGGAGCTAAAAAAAATTTAGGAGATAAAAAGTACTCAATTTTGCCTGAGTAAGTAGATGGATAGTATGCTGACGCGGGGGCAAAAAAATTCCCTTAGCAGTATTTGGGATCTGTGTAACATGCCGCGGGTGGCGCGGGCGGAGCGCTGCCTTTCTTTCTTCTTTCGAGGATAACTATAATTACCATTCTCTTTTCTTGTAATGACTCACAGTGACAGGGTTTCTTAAAAAAGTGAAGCCGCAATTTATGCGTCTAAAATGAAATTCTTAGAAAGGCCCCAAAGTTTGTTTTCATTACTTTTATGAAATTTAGAGCTTTGTAAACACTTGGAAGCCGACCGTTCACCTCATATTTTGCAAAATCACATTTCAATCTATAACTATCAGGGTCAACTTGAGGATTCTTACTGCCAAACAATGCAATTTTTTAATAGATTTGAGATGTAGATTTATTTATTTTCATAAAACAAACGTCATGCTAATATTTTTTTAGAAAATTATTAGAGATGTTTTTTAATTTTCGTTTAATTAGAAAAAAAAAATTCAACTTCCATAAACTTAGTCCACACCATTTTTTCTCAATTTTGATTTTTATTTTTTTTACCAAAATAGCATTCTCGATAGTCGTATTACTGTAATGACTATCGTATTATGATACTTTAAGTACCGTAATGACCAGGCTAAGCATTACGATATTTTTAAGTACTGTAATGACCATGCTAAGTTTTATGGTACTTTAAAAACCATAATGCTTATTGGGTCTCTTCTCTCTCATTTGCCACATCTCATCAAACTTCTCTTTTGAAGTAGGAAATCTTTCCCTGTTCTTTTTTTTCTTGAGCAAGTTTTAAGAGTACTTTGTAGCATTTCAACTAATTTGAATTTTGAGCATTACGTTGTGCTTATGATTTTTAAAGTACCGAAATGATTGGAAATTTGTGCATTACAATCTTTAAAGTAACGTAATGTTTAGCCTGGTCATTACGATACTTAAAAGATCGTAAGTCCTAAAATGTTATTGGAAAACTACTGGGAATACAACTACAATGAAGACTATTTTTATAAAAAAAATACCAAAATTGAGAAAGAATGTATAGACAAGGTTTACGAAAGTTGAAAAAAAAATTTCCTATTGAACGAAAATTAAGATATATCAAAAAAAGAGAGACTAAATTGAAGTTTTAACATTGACCTGATCTTGCAACTGCCCGTATGATCTCTCTCCTCCATTAATAGTAGTGCTCACAACGGATTGGACCAACCCTAACCTTAGCTTGGCCCTAATTCCCATAGGGCCAGCCTAAGCCCAGGGCTGGCCCATGCTTGGCTTAGACCTAATAAGACCAATAAGGTCAAATAAATATAATAAATAAAAGGAAAAAATGAAAAAAAAGATGATAAGGCGAGGCCAAACCGGGGCGAGCCTAACCTACCTTTGGGTTGTGATTGACCTGCCCTAGCCTGTTCCTTAGGCCATAAATTGTGGTCCGGTCACTTGATACTCTTTTCTCTCTCTCAATATCCATCCATCCATCTATTTCCCATGTCCATGACCAATACTCCTCTCCAACCATAGATAAAATTGGTAGGGATTGGTCATTAGGGGGAAAATGGTCCCCTTTGAGAATTTGGAGTTATTGTTTGCCTTTTTTCAGGTAAAAGCATATCGCCCTTTTTCTCTCATTTATTCAAATTTAAATTTGGGGAGCCTAAAGTCTTCGATATACAGGGAGTGTACGGTCTCTAATAAGTGTCAGAGCGTGGAGTAGTTAGCCTATAAATATCCTTCCTTCAACTCATTTACTCCAGTCACAAGCTCAGCTTCTGAATTCAACCATTGCACTTGAAAACCCTAAATCATTTATTGTTTCTGTTTGTTTTTTTTTGTTTTTTGTTTATTTGAAGCAGACAAAAGACTGATTCTTTAGCTGTTTTCACTCAAAATCACCGGTGCAGAAGGAGTTTCAGAGGAGGTTTTTTTTCCTCTCTCTCTCGGGCTTTTTAATAGTGAATCAGGTGAGAAATAGGCGTATAGATGATCTTTTTTTTCTCCTTTATTTTACTGAGAACTGCGAGGAAGATGGATCGGTTGGACGAGTGTGTTGGGTTTTCTTTCTCTTCTACTTCCTGTTTTTTATCCTACATTTTACTGAAAACTCTGTTCAGAGGCGCCTTATTATTCCTTCTAACATCAAAGAAGCAATTATGGAATACCGGAGTGTTTTCCCTTCTTTTCTTTTTTCAGTTTTGATCCTACTTTAGCTGAAAGATCTGTCCAAGAGCTCATTAATTTTTGCAGTTTTTATCCTTCTCCTCTGGTTTTTTATCCAACATTGAGCTGAAACTTGTCCTTTTAAAGTTGAGATAACTTTCCTTACTACGTGAAAACAAAGAAGTTACTGAAGGATACAGTGATTTATCACTTTTCCTTCAGTTTCTGAACAGTTGAAAATCATCCTAAAATCCCCCTAGTTAGAGCAAGTGTTTACTTATTCTCTTCCATCTGAACATCAAATCTTAAAATATGATTTAGTTTTCCTTTTCACGGGAAAACAAAACCTGTCTCTTTTGGCCTTTTGCTTCTCAAAATATAACTTTTCTCTGAAATTATTTATTAAAAACTACCATACATTTTTCTTCTAGGACTAACGGTGGCCTAAACTGACGGGTGATTATTTTTTCTTATATTTTATTCTTTTTTTAGATCATAAACTAGTTGGAGATCAGTTTTATATGTGACGACTTGTTTTAGTGGATTGTTAAACTGTAATCATTTGGAATAATGTTGAATTTTGTTTTATCACCATCTCCTGTAATATATCTGAAATTTTGCTCTTGATCCTTTTCTGTAGATTCAATCCAGTGGAATGATGGGATATTTTTTAAATCTGCTACTCTGCTGTTTTATTTTTCGATAAGTTTAGTGTAATTATATCTTAAAAGGGGAATAATATTATACTTATGATTCATTTTCTCTGTCATCTTTGCAGGTGATTAAACCCTAGCGGATAATGGGTCCTACTTCCTGAATCAGCTAAAAGATGAAGTGAGTCTCTCTCTCTCTCTCTCTCTCTCTCTCCACATAAAGAACAACGTTTTGTGGGCAAGTAAAAGAATCAACTTTTTGATATTATTTTTTACTTTTTTTTTTTGTCTCTGTTCAAATCATAAACAGTTTGGAATCAGAGGCAATTATTACTTTTAAGAGCAGCAAGGGAAGAGCTTCTCTGGAAAATCCCAATATATTCAAATTTTCAAATTAATTTTAAAAGGACGGTGTTCAGTTGTTTTCTCTGTTTCCGAGCACTGTTATTTATGGCCTTATTTATAAAAGCCTTACAGCTTTAAAACTTTGTAGAAGTAAAATTTTGAAATTAAGATTTTAAAGGTTTATGAACCAAGCACAGAGGATTTTAAGCTTAGTTGAAAGAAATTTGTCAAAATCGTCATAAATTCACCTAACCTGAGGAAGTTCTATACTTCCCAATCTTTCTACCTAATGGTGGGTCCTTTTTAAATGCTTCTTATTCAAGTGGGGCTTGGATATAAAGGATTACTTCTGCAACAGGAAAACACAAATCAGATTATTAGGTCTTTCTATGAAACATCAAAAAACATTAAAAAAAAAAAATTCAGTTGGTAGGTATCACCATTTTAGATTGTGGCTGGCATTCATCCTGTGCTGTTCACTGAAAATAATATGGGGTATAACAGCAATGGGAATTTTAAAATTTTATTAAAATCCTTCCTTCTAATAAGAAGACATTTTCCGAAATTCAGTTTTTTTTTTTTCTTACAAAGTTAGGTTTGACGAAGCAAAATTTGCCAAGGGTGGATTACTGAATACGTGCTGCCAGCAAGAAGCCTCTTGCTTGAGACCTGCCTCTCCAAGTCAACCTTTTTAGTAAACCAAATGTAGTTCCATTTCATCCAGCCAATCATTTGATAACAGTTTCCAATTCTAGTACTATATTTTATAGCCTTGGACAAATTTCTTCCGAAATTTTTTGGACATGGCTCACAGTTTCATGTTTTACCAATTGAGTTAAAATAACACTGGAATATTCTAACCTTGGTAGGCAATGACATACTGATCTGTTCTTAGAATACTAGCTGGAGAACTGAGTAAAGATATTGTATTTCCCTTTATGGGAATACATTTCTTTATGGAAATAAACATTCTCTTTTCAGTGCTTATAAAATATTATTCCAGCAGAATGAATAGGATTGGTAAAATGAGCTTCAGGAAAAATATTATTGCTTCCGTTTTCAAGACTTAGCTTTCTGTTATGAACTTAAGAATGAAATTATTTTAATGTTGTAGCATCGGATTCACGGGTGGGCCACAAAACTTTCTACTTCTTTCCTTAATTAATCCTGAAGTTATCTTGTCCTTACATTGCTTTCAAAATTACTTAAATTTTCAAACTTTGGGAAACTTCAATAAATTATGCTTCGAATGTTAACAAAGTTAATCTCTTGTGGTTGTATCAGTATTTGACAAGGAAGTGGGACTTTGTAGGGACCTCTTTTTGGTTATTTTGCATAAATCATACTGTTAAATTTTATCTTTTTTAAGATTTCTTGAGTTTTATAATCTTTTTTTGCTTTCTTGACTGAGCAGAAGACAATTAAAGAGTTCATCCATCACCGCTGCTCTACCCTTAGCATTTATTTGTATGCAATTTCTCTGTTACCTTCGCCAAGCCTGGGGTGGAGCTTTTGTTGCGTCGCATTCTTGAACTTGGAAGTATCAAAGGTGTGGCAACCAATGTATGTTTACAAGTTCATAGACAAATAGATCAGATTAGAGCTTTTTGATGATCTCTTCATTGATTAGGAGTTCTGTGTTTTGCAATTTATTGAGGAACTTACAAAACGACATTAAATAAATTCAACCATTTGTTACTAGTTGAATTTTCTTTTGTCTAAGAAGGGTGAAGACCTTAAAATTTCCTTTAGCTAGGTTGTGTTAGGTAGGCAGCCAAAGTAAACCTTCACCAAAACTTTCCATTTTGAATTTTCTTTGATAAAGTATAGGTGGGTGGATTATTTCCCCAGCTTTGATTTTTATTTTATCCATAATGTGAGATCATATCACTGTTCCCCTGCATTAGGATAATTTCACTTTCAAGTTTTCTATAAATAATCCAGCTCATACTTCATTTCCTTCCTATTGATATTTCATATTTAAGAATGCATATTTGCTTCTTGGAAATTATATGAAAAATCAAGTAAAATAGCATATACTTTACAAAATGATATACTTCATATCTCAATAACCCAGTCATGGAAATTTTTTTTTTCCCTCTTCTTTTTCCTAGATGAAGGATTAATTATTTGCTAATATTGAAAGAACCTTGCTTATCTCTCCTGCAGATGTCTCTTAAGATATTAGATGAACGACACAATAAGCGGACATCTCCGTTTTTGGATACACCTGCAAGAGGAATTCAAAGGTCCGCATTCATGAAAAGGCTGGCTTGCTGTCACCGTGAAAAGGGGATTAGTATAGACTTTGATGTACATGAGGGTAAGTTAGCTGAGCTTCAGAGTTATGATTGTTTGATAATCGAAGTTATGATCAACATGAATATAACTCATCCAATGTCACAGAAAACTTTAAATTATAAGAAAAGGTTTGGCATTTTACATTAATCATTTGATTTATTTCTGTTCTATGCCTTCTGGTCCAGTGGTGTGGAACCTGTATCATATGAAAGAGGTTGAGATGCACCTCATACAAACCAAGCTTATTTACCTAAAAGAAAAAGAGAATTTAAAGGAATTTTCTTCTAATGAAGAACTTTTGCATCCTTGGTGCTTCTGCATGTGGATAAATCTCTATTGGTCATTCATATTGCCTCATGTAGAATGGTAATCTTACCTGGCAAGGATGGCTGTCTGTTTACTCATACTTTTGAGTTTTTTTTAGGTCAAGAGGAACATTCCCAATACCCACCCCCTCTTCTTTTGCTCATCTTTTTACGAATTAATGGAATCCTTTTGTTAGCAAAAGGAGAAAGGTTCATTATCAAAAAAAAAAGGAGAAAGGTAACAAAAACGTTGTGATTTGCTTTGCAGTGTGTACTGTGTGGTATGAATGCTAGTCATAGTATTGAAAGATTAATCTCTGGGCATGATAATCATTCAGATGGCTCACATGCATGCATATATGTGTAAAATTAATTAGAAAGGAAAAATATACCATAATCCATTGGACTAGTGAGAAACCATACTTCTTTGGGTCAATACTGTCCATTGAAATGATGTACCATGATGGATGGACTATACAGCCCACTATAGCATGAAAATCAGTTAAGGTTCCCCCTCTCCATAACACCTATCATTTCAATGGACAGTGATGACCCAATGGATAATTTCTCCAAAGTGCATTGGGCTCTAGTATACGTTTCTCTAGGAAATACTGCCTGATGCCTTGATAAACTGTTCCCCTTTATATTTTCCCCTCCTTTTTGCAGGTTTTATGACATATAATGGCCTTGAGAGCTGTATCCGGAGCAGTTACGGTTTTGATGATGAGAGTGGCACAAGCCGAGGGGATGGATTTTGTACAGACTCTTTGGATGAGGATGATTCCAGTTGTTCTTCAAGCAAAGATGTTTTTGGATCCTTCTCATCTCATTGGTTGCTGGGTAAACAGGAAGAAAAGTGGAGTGATGATTGGGAATCATGTCATGGTCTAGGAAGTCTGAACATTTCACAAAAACCAACTTATATGACGAAAACTATAGATGTGGAGACCATGAAAGAAAGGTTTGCTAAGCTTTTACTGGGTGAAGACATGTCTGGAGGCTGCAGAGGACTCAACACTGCCTCGGCTTTATCAAATGGCATAACAAACCTTGCAGGTAAAAATAGGCACCACTTATTCTCGTTTATGATTATTCTTGTGAGGCAGTGATTTTGATAAACTGATGGGGCATTTTGGAAAAAGGGATATGATTGTCCTTTTTCTAAAGAAACTCTTTAGATTCTTGAGAATTATGTATGTAGCTAGTTGCTTCTGTGTGTGTTTGTGTGACGGGGGAGCATGAATCTCCTCATGGATATATAGCCTTACTATTTCCATGATTTTCTTATGTTTCCTTGTACAGGAAGGGACACCTCTAGTGGTAGGCCTACCAATTTTCAATGAACTTAGTATTTGTTGTGATCATTTTCCCATTTGCATTATAGTAGTAAAATTTTATCCTTCTTTCCTGGTTTCAACCACTTCCATGAACTTCACATTGATATTTCTCACATGCATGTATTTAGTAATTAAGTGCGAGATAATAAATTTTTTGTGTTCTGTTATTTTATGGGTTGCTATATGGTAATAAGTCTTGGATAATGGTTCTATCAGCACATATTCCTGAGGACGCATATATATTCATGATTGCCATCTGTTCATTCAAATTGTGCCATGCATCCAAGATAATGAAAAAACTGAAAGCAATTTATTCTTCTCAAAGCTGATGTCTCACTTTCCTCAGGTCTTTCAACTACTTGTGATATTTTGATTTCCCTTCCTGATTTGTATTCAGGCTTGTTGACTAATTATACCTTTTATTCTCTTTTCTACATTGCAGGTTCCACTTTTGGGGAACTATGGAAATTGGAGCCATTATCTGAAGAGAGGAAGACCAAATGGGTAAAGGAGATGGATTGGTTGCTCTCTCCAGCTAGTTACATGGTGGAACTGGTCCCTGCTAAGCAAAGTGATGCAAATGGACGAAGTCTTGAGGTACTATAAAACACATTATTTTATCATGACAATTACCATTTGGAACTTACTGCATCGCCCATTCAGCACAAGCATCACGCAAACTTAAACCATGAGGCAACATGGATATGCTGAATGATAAGATGAAAGGTAGTCTGGGTGTTTATTTGTTGTGTATGTGTATTGGTGATGTGCAGATAATGACCCCTCGTGCTCGTTCAGACATCCACATGACTCTTCCAGCACTGAGAAAGCTCGACTCCCTGCTTATTGTAAGTGGAAAATCTATTGTATGACATAACTCCTGTGCAGATTTCTCTTCTTCATTTCTTATTGATTATTGGGGATTACATAGCGATAATATAACTGCATTTGGCAAATCAAAAGTAACAAACAAGAAGGGGGGGAAAAAGAAAACAAAGAAATGAGAGAGGGGGAGGAGGCAGAGGGTGGGGGGAGGAGAGAGTACTAGCCTGAATTAAAAGAAAGAAAATAAAAAGAAAAATAAATAAAACATATATGCAGTAAAATGCTGGAAAACCTATAAACACACAAAATTGAAGTGTACTAAAATGCTGGAAAATCCAAAAAATGGGCTTTATATGACAACCCTCTACATCTGAACTCAATAGCACAAAGATAACAGCTAAGAAGTTCCTACTGGGAAGGAATAAATGCACAGAGCTAACATGCTTTATATAGGTGCTCCTTAAATGTTGTAGGGTTCCCATCCAACAAAAAACCAGAGCAACCAATGGTGTGTAATGCAATTTTTGGGAAAGGATTTTTTTTGGGTAAGTAAAAAAAAAAAATAGTTAGTCAATGGGGATTTGGCCCTCTACCCTTTAGTGACAATGGAGTCAGAGACCTCATTAAGGGGCTCGGCAATACTACCTCCAAGACCTAGGTCATTCTCTAAAAATGGTATGTCAGTGGGGATTTGGACCCCTACCCTTAGGTGAGAATGGAGTCAGAGACCTCACCATAGGGCTCAGCAATACTACTGTCAAGGCCCCAAGCCATTCTCAATTTTTATTCTATTTTTTTATTTTGGGAAAGGATTGATAACAATGTTTTGCACAGGAAACACTAGACGCAATGGTAGATACAGAGTTTTGGTATGCGGAAGGAGGGAGCAGAAGAGAGAACAGAAGCAGGAGTGCGAAAACGAGTATGAAATGGTGGCTTCCTCTTCCAAGAGTCCCTTTATCTGGTCTATCACCAGAAGCCAGGAAAAAATTAGGGTTTAGGAGAAACTGCATTAGTCAAGTGTTCAAAGCTGCAAAAGCCATAAACGAGCAGGTCTTGTTAGAAATGCCCGTTCCACCAGCTTTCTTGGATACACTTCCTAAGGTAATTATTCAAGTGCAACAACAACCATTTATTTATTATTCTACTAACTCTTGTTTTGCTGAAATAACTATGGAAGCGCCTATAGTATACCTTAGTGTACAGCATTAATATCCCGCAAAGGAAAATGAGAGAAATCATGTTGAATAATCTTGTGTTTTCATGTACATGAGTGTTGCCATCTGTACTTTTTCTTTTCCTGGGCTACATGATTACATTAACTTGCAACTATGCAAAAGCCTCTCTCTCTCTTGCAACTACGCAAAAGCCCTCTCTCTCTCTCTCTCTCACTCAGACATGTGCATGCGGGGATATACATTTCTTGTATCCAAATAATCAGTTAACCACTAATTCCTGCAAAATTCAGTGAACCATATGCACACACGCACGTGATGCATGGGCACATTTACAAAATGCGTATGCAAAGTACATGTTCCAACCTATGTGCAAGGGCACTCAACAATGCACATAACCCACATGGATGGGACATGCATCTGAGGAACTCCTTTAATGAACCAAATTGAAGATCACTAGAACTGTTTCTGCTACATCATCTAAGATTCAAACCACCTAGAGGAAATATGCAAAATGATAGAACCATTCATTTAATATCTAATTAGATCCATCAATTTTTCTAGTCTTTTCAGTTTTCCAATAAAGCTAATCATTTTTATCATTTACAGGCAGGTAGGACAAGCCTTGGAGAAGTTCTTTACAGAGCCATATGCACAGAGCCATGCAGGCCTGAAGAAGTGGTGAATTTGCGAGAAATGGAAACCGAGGATGGGGCATTAGAGGCAGCAAACAGATTGCAGACAGCCATTCTAATGTGGAAACAGCGGATAACATCAGCTTCCAGTGAGGGAAAGGTTGGTGTTCTGAATTCTTGGTCGTTAGTGAGAGATTCCGAGGCTGAATTGGATAAGAAGGAAGTGTATTTAGAGAGGGCTAAAGCTGTTATGTATCATCTGAAGCGCAAGTTCCAAAGAATGCCACAGACCTTTCTTGACATGACCAAGGTCCAGCACAATAAGGTAAGCTCTCTCTCTCGCTCACACACACACAGCGCATGCATGGACCCTTAGAATGTTTCTATCTTTCATAATGCCTTGCTATTTTGTACTCTCTGTACCAATGTTCAAAAAATCGACTCAGCCAAGGTACTCGAACCTTGGCCGAGGCGAGTTATTCAGCTGAGTTTGAGTAACTCAGCCAAGTTACGAGAGTGCTTTTTTTTATTTCTAACAAAATAGCCCAGTTTTCAAATACGCTTAAAAATGAGAGTGCTTTCTTTTTATTTTTTAATAAAATAAGAAATGCCTATTTTTTATACAAAATTTTGGATAACACTGCACAGGATTCGAACCTTGGACAGGAGACTGTTGAGGCTTCAATAACTGCCAAAAAGCCAGTTCAATATATATAATATATATTAAATCAGAGTACATGGTACTCGGCCTCGCCCTTAAGCCATGGCCAAGTAACTCGGGTGAGGCCGAGTCTCCTCGGCCAAGTCCCAAATCAGTGCTCTGTACATCTTGAGAGATGCACCTATTGTCTCGCTATTTTTATACAGTCTTCTGTCATCTTCATTATTTTTCACTCTCTTGCGTTCTCTCCTCTGCCGAAGACCTCATAATATTTTTTTTTTCACGGAATTCAGGATATTGGGCATTCCATTTTAGAAGCCTATTCCAGGGTCCTTGAAGGCTTGGCATTCAGCATACTCTCAAGGATTGAAGACATCCTGCAAGAAGATGACATGGTTAAGAGCTCCCTCAAGCCCCAAACGAACCAAACTCATGATAATAAACCGATTGAAAGTACAGTGACTGAAGCAGGTCATCAATATCATAGGGGAGAAGAATCCCTTGTCAATCACTTAAATGGAGACCACTCTCCTGAATCCAACGAATTCAGTGGAGAAGTTTGTGGCGGTGTTTCTCTTGTGAGATCTCCTCTTCGCTAATGATCACAAAAATGGAAAGTAGAAATTATAATAAGATGTTCTTCGCCTCACTCGCCAACATCAAGCGGAAGGCTATGGGTGGTGACTGATTTTTTTATTTATAATGATTATACCTCTGGTTTTAAGAGCATACATGATGGTGTTTGGTAGAGAAAATGGTGATGATACATTGGAGGTGATCCATGTCCTTTCAAACAAGTCAGAATCTCTTGTAGATGGAGAAGGGTGTTGGGGGAGGAGACTAGTGCTTGTCCATGAGATTTCAGGGAGGGAGTGAGACTAATGCAAGATGTTATCCCCCTCCTTGTCAGAATTATTGTATAAAAATAATATTTTATTTCGAAATAATATAAGTACCATTTACTAGGCATGCTCATTATTTTCATTTCAATTGAAAATGTTTTTGTGCGGTTGCAATTTTCATGAATTGCAACTTTTTTTTGTGCTGTGTGATGAAAATTTAATGGTGCAAGATATGCCGACGTTGATATGGCGGCATAACTTGTGCGGTCATATTTTTTATTGGACGGCACAAAGGGGTGCGGCTACACCATAACCTTGCCCATTTTAGAAGTTATTTTTTTACATGGGTGAGGTTTATATTGGGTGCCAAGCTATGCCTCTGAATTTCTTTTACTTGGAGATGTATTCTTGCGTCGAAAATGTTATGATGGCTTGAAAGTGTATTTTCATTCTAAGTTATAAAGTTTAAATTTAAAAAATGACGTAGATTGAGCAAATTTATAAATACTTAAAATCTAGAAAACAAACGGTCGAAATAAATAAGATGTATTATTTTTAAGATTTTAAGTTCTTTTTTAACATATCTATACATCTTGAAGTTGAAAGGATCAATTGAAAGATTTTCAAGTAGCATTATCTTGTACAGGATTTGAGATGCACGTTATTTCAATAGTATAAGGTTGACGCTTTCTGTAAACTTTTTCCTTTTGAGGACAGTAAGCAATCAAAACGCACATGCAAAAAGATGTTTTAACACCAGAATTTTTTGTGACAGCTTCAAAATTTATTTTTAAAGTTAGTTATGAAATTTAAATAAAAATAGTAGATCAAACAGATCTATGAGCACTTGTAAATCTAAAAAATGGATAATTGAGATGATGTATTGTAAGATGCATTATTTTGAAGAATTAAAACCCTTTTTACATCAATATGATGGAGATAGATGGTCAATTAAAGGGTTATTGCGTGTCATAACGATCTTTTCTATTGAGTTTTTGAGGTGTCTTAGGTTGACGCCTTATATAAACGTTTTTTTCCTTGGTCTTATTCAAGTTCAAAGGAGTGAAGTGAGACGCTTTAATGCCACATGGCCGGGCCATTATTCAGGGCGAGATTGAGAAGAATATTGGAGTGAGTTGAATTCTTTCTTCACGAAACAAAAAATACTGAAAGATGTTGTGCGTTCGTGCATTCGAAGGTTCAACAAGGGCAAGGGCAAGGGCGTTTACACAGAGGTGAAAAGATTAACATATCCAACACTCAAGAAATAAATATGTTTATCAATAATTGCTAAATACGCGGATGTCAATTGCATATACATCGTATTGTTTCTGTTTTCAGTATTCCTGTATTTTGTGGTTCACAATTCAGATTTTATGCACTAATTACCATCCCTATTCTTAAATCTTGTTATCTTTTACATCATTAAAGTTGTTGATATAACGCGGTTAAGAACATTAATTACAGGTATAATAGATGGCCTAATGTGGTGATCAATCAGCTGCTTCAATTAAGTGGTTTACTTCAACTCTTCTGCCCTAGAAGAGGCGTGAATTAATCTGGTGGTTTACTTCAACTCTTCTGCCCTAAAAGAGGAGTGAATTAATCTGGAAGTAACATGCAAACACAACCAAGTCTTCCTGCAGTATAGAAGCCCCCTATCCCCCAAAAGTTCAGAACTTCGCTTGGTTGAGACTGATTTGCCCAGAAAAAAAAAAGGAATATATTGCAAGGAATTCATTATTAGCAAGATGAACAATTGATCATTTATTTTTGGAAAATTGTTTCATGCGCGTTGGACCGCATTTCTACAATGTCCCAAGGTATAAAGCATTCATCTTAAAGATGGATGCAGATAGGTGGTCCATCTAAAACCACTTGAAACTAACGAATCCCCACCGATATACCAAAAATAAAAATAAAAAATCCAACTTGTTGCTCAACATAATCTCTCTCCCTCTCTCTCTCTCTCTCTTACAATATTCCATAATTTTATTGATTGTAAATTATTCCAAGGTAATTAAGCAATAAAACTATCTGATACAATCAACGATTGAAAGGAAGCACCTTTCCTAACTAAAGCATCTGCCACACCGTTTCCCTCTCGACAAATGTCTAAACAAGATAGATTGTCCACACATTAAGTCCATGATCTCCAACCAAATTGATCGTAATCTCTCTCTCTTCCACACACACCACAAAGCTGCCAGAATTTCAATCAAAATCACCAACTTGTGCTTTTGTAACTCCATACAAACTTGCACTTAACACTATTGCTTGCATTAAATTCATGAATTTCATGACGTGGATAAGCTAAAACCAGTTCCTCAACAAACGAGCTCAACATTTTCAATTAGCAACTGAAAAACAAAATGGTGAACAAGGGATCCAACCTCTCCTGCTTTTGAGCAAACAATATGGCAAAACTTCACTAAAAATTACACGCAAAACAGAAAAGGTCAAAAGTTGAAGAGTTGCTCACTGGAAAAGTTTACTTAAAAGAGGACGAGAGAGACTCATTTGGCAGAAGAAAAGGAAATTGCTTTCAACTATTCAGCACTCAATCCCTCTTTATACGCTGCTGTCTGCTAAGCAAGAGAATGACTATGAAAGATGCTACCGTTCCAAGTGTATGTCCAATTATGGCCCCATAAGTCACACAAATTGGCCACTCCTGCAAGCCAAAAGTCATGCACCAAAATCAAGCATTAATCTTCGAAAACATATCCAAGCAACAATAACCATTCCCTCTTCTTTTTTCTCTTCTTTTTTTTTCTTTTTTCTCTCTCTCTCCTTATGTGGGGAGCATCATAGCTGAAATTTAATCAAAAGTTATGACATCCAATTTCAGAGTGGAAAACCATTTATTAGATACATTTCACAATGATATCCAATACCACCTATGTACATCTATCCCAGTAGTCACAAAGAGTCCCGAGGAAACCCTAGCTTGTGGAATTAGGAACCCCAAATATCAAGATCATGGTTGTTGGGATCGGGAGTAGGATTAGGAGTGGGGGACCGTAAAACGCTAAATATCCCTATTGGTTGGAAGTGTCTTTCAAACAATGCGTTTGTTATTTATGGATCAAGATCCCCATATGTCAGTGATCTCGATCCCAACCTGTGGGGATCTTGCTCCCACCTTAAAGGGTATATATATTCTAGGACTACATATACTCTTTAAAGTAGGGATATCTTTGTTATAGCCAACAATACAACTATATTCGAATTATAGTTATGTTGCTAGCTAGCAATTAATAAATAAAAAGTCAGTTTAAGGTGGGGATAGAGATCCCAAAATTTAAAAGAAGGTCCCCTTTCTGAAGTGAAGGGACTAGATGTGACATGATGAGATTCTCAAGTGGGACCGCTTCCTAGGTATGGAGATCCCAACAACTATGACCAAGATCTCACCAAAGATTATGTCCATGTTCGGCTAAATACTACATAGGTGAATAAATAAAATGTGTGCCAAAATAAAGCAAAAGTATAATTACAGCAAAATAACACAAATTTTATGAGATTTGCCATGTAGGGGCTAATATCCACTGCCTCGGCAAGTTGAACCCCATAAGAAATGAGTTCCAATGTCAGGTTACAATAGATATATCTTATCCCTTTAAACATCAGCAAAACCCTATCTGCTCTTTCCTTCTAGACCCACTTCCCCAACGGAACAATACTGTCGATCAACCTCCCTCTTTCCCATAGCTATTGAAAATAGAACCTTGAGAGCAAATGAGAGACTTTCACTGCTCAGCATTGAAGGTTGAACAAATCCAAACCCCTTGAGAAAATTGCCTCTCTAGGACGTCATGTCTCTCTCTCTCTTTGCGAAAATGGGGACGCCTCAAAGGATGAGCATAACATTGATCCTTATATAGAAATCATTTAGGTTTCTTTCTTGCTCTCAAAGAAAACCCCCCTTGTCTGCTGCCCCAAGTCCATAATAATTCCAATCTTCAAAGCAAATATAAGAGGGGTGATATTAGCTATCACCAATCCTAACAATCTCCACCTTGACAAATGTATTCCTTGATGACATCTCCATTGGATCGATTTCGTCATTCCTTCCCTCTTGCAAATAAGACTTGGCATGGAACTTTCGCAAATATTTTGCCTCCATATTTCTCCACAGCTCAAACCATGTATACATCTAAGTTCCCCGTGTATTTTTCTCAACCAAAAATACAAACCTTAGGTGTGTGCACAACTTGTGCTCTAATACCAATTTTAAAATCCTTTGGAACCCCATTTTGCATAATAAAATACCCAATTACTAGGATCCCACCCAAGATCGTGTACATAATAGGCTAAATGCGAAATAGGAGAGTACAATAATAAAAGAGAAAAATACAGCAGCATGAGCACAACACTACAATATAAGACTGAGGCGGTTCACCTAAAAGGGACTACATCCACAGCCTCGCCAGGTCGGAATCCATTATTAATGAAGATTATAAGTATTGGGTTACAAAAGGGGTTGCAAAAGATACATCTTTCCAAAATATTGGCAAAACCCTCACCAATCTTTCCTTCAAGACCGGCTCTCCCAACCAAGTAACATCGCTGATCAATCTCCATCTGCCCTACCGCTATACTGCTACAAAAAAGAAAACATTGAGAGCAACTGAGAGACACTTGCTCTAGAATTGAAAATTAAACCAACCCAAAAACCCAAAGGATAACCACCTCTCTCTAAGAGGCCATGAATCTCTCTTAAGTACCCATTTGTCCCCCTACATAAAAGTATTAAGGTTCCTTGCATATTCAACAAGAACGCCCCGTTAACTTTCACCTGAAAACAACAATACCCCAAATCTTTCTATGAGAACATAGGGGTGGTTGGCTGGGGAGCCAACTTGGCTCCTGCACATTCTTCAGATAACTCTAGTGGATTTTTTTAGTCAAGAACAAGAAATTTTGGACACCAGAGTATCACAACTGACTCATGCTCCACGCAAGGTAGGTCCAATAAATCAAAGTAGATTTGCACTAATACAAAACTACAAATATGTGCATTGGGTTTGGAAACTAAAATTATTAGATAACAAACGAGCATTTTTTCTTTTCTTTTTTTAAGTAAGAGCAAATTTTTTATTTCTTCACATTCTTGTATATCTCTTCACTTCAGTTTTTTTTTTTTTCTAATATGTAATTCAAGTGATGTTCATGCATGACGCTGCAAGCCAAATAACAGAATCTTGGGAAAGCTTGACTTCAATGTCCCATCAAGTTATGGTCGAGTCTGGTGTTAGAGAACTATGCATATGTAGACATGCTGGGCCCCCTTGGTTACTGGTATTTTATTCACATGCTATCAACTATCAACCCTTCATTCATCTTATTATAATTAAAAGAAACAAAAAAATAACCAACAACATTAGCATGCATTATAATAGATAAATCACCACCTGCCAAGGTCTGTCCCAGTCTAGTGGCATGGGCCAAGCTCCAAACCATGCCCCAATAACAGCTCCATGTGCTGGTAGACAGACTGCATAGTCAATAGGGGTGATTGGCCTACAAAAATAAATTATGTGATTTTTCTCAGGAGCATTTCATTCAACTAAATGGCTTTTAGAAATCTAGAGCCTATTTAATCAGAAGGGCCCTATGTCACTTCTTACTCACTTATTATCTGAAATGATGCTTACATGCATCAGAAAAAAGAAAATCAAAAAAAGGGGGGAGGTGGAAAAAAAAAACTTAAATGGGTTGAAAGAAACAGCTCCGTGATACATGCAATAGATTGAGGAGCCAGAAAATTCAAGGAATAGTCACAGAACTTTTCTAAGTAGGGCTTGGTAGCAACAAGGAGACCTTCAAGGATTATAATAACACTGTGCTAAAAGAAAATACAGAGACCGAGAATGGAGGCCTATTAGCACTATTAAAGATCAAAATTTATACTATTAAAGACTAACTTATACTCTTAAGGAAAAAGAAGAAAGAAAGGATACAGTTTCTCACTTGGAATGTGCGTATAGGCGCTGCCAATCCTTCCATGAGGACCCATAAACTGAAGCTGTGGGAACCACCTGTCACGACACCATGACAAATATGAAATGCTTTCTTGAACTAATTTGCCTTGAATATTTGCTTTATTTTTTTAAAGCAATGTTTGATTCCACGGCCTAGGCTCGGAACTCGCCCCACGGGCAAGCCAAGTGACTCAAGAGAATCCAAATCGACTTGCCCGAGTTCGGCCCAAGCACACAAAAAAGCCCCAAACGAAATCCAATAGAGGGGAGGAAACGCTTAAAAAACCCTTAAAAATAGAAAAAAAGAGAGTACAAATCCAAAAATAAATACAAAATCAAAAGAAATATATACAAAATGAAATATGGGACATATTTGATGTTACCGCTTGGAATACATTTAGAAAAATCCAAGCAAAAAGAGAGAAAAAAACATAAAAAGTTTATACAAAACTAGTTATAAATCAATTATAATTGATACCATGTGAAAAATAAATACATAAATTTAAATCAGAAAAAGAACTTCACCCGAAATTTGGGGCCCATCACCCAATCTTCGCGCTTAGAGCAACTCAAGGCCTCCAATCCTTGTCCCAATTTGGGTTTCAAGTTCGCATGTAGGAGATCTGAACCCTTGAAAATTTTGGATGAATAGTAAATCTGAATTTGAAATCTCACAAATCTCAAGCTTATCATTTGACAAAGAACCCAAAAATAGCTCCAAGGATCAATTTTCACTGAAGATCAACCATCCATTGTGAAGAAATACAATTTTTTAAAATTGGGCAAAACCTAGGCCAAAATGTTTAATCTCTCAAATCCATATAATTTCTTGCTTTTTTCTCAAGTGTGATCTACCTAGTCGACAAATCAGGTAAAAATAAGTTTGTACTCCAAAAATGGGCTCAAAATCATATCCCCAGTCCTCAAAAAATTGAAGAAAAGGGAAAACGATGGTGGATTTTCAAACCACTCCCTCCTCCTCCCCCCCAAAATAAAAAATAAAAAAACGGTCCTCGTTCTTTTAAGGAAAAAGTTTATATAAATGTGAGGCTCGAAACAATCAAAATTAGGGCGCATCTCAAATTTTTCACTAGAAGAGGTTGTTTCGATGCCCAAATATCCTCAAATTGATCATCTCGACCTCAAGATGCATGGACAATGAGACAAAAATGGATTTCAAGTTTTGGAAATAGTGCATCTTGTAATGCATTTTTGGACCGCCAATTTTCAAGATTTTCGAGTTTTCATAGACCTGCTCGATCTACACTATTATTTAAGTTTTAAATTTTATAATTAGAGATGAAAATATATTTTAAGACTATCACAAAGATTTCCAGTATTGAAACCACATTTCTCGATACTATTTGAAGGTGTTGCATTACTTTGATTGTTTAGAGCTTGTGCTCTATACAAACCGCACCCTTCTTTTAAATAGCTCTTTTACAATATTTGGGTGAGCATTACATAAAGGAAAAAGTTTATATAAGGTTGCAACCTTAAAATGTAGAATTACAGATGCACCTCAAAAATCCATCGGAAAATATTGTTTTAATGTTCAAAAACCCTCTAATTGATCATCTTGACATCAAGATATATGAATATGAAAAAAAAAAAAGATTTTGAGTCCTAAAAATAGTGCATCTTACAACACATTATCTAGACCGTCCATTTTCAAGATTTTCATATATTTATAGATCTACTTGATTTTAGTCATTTTTGGAGTTTAAATTTTTATAATTAGATACAAAAATGGATTTTAAGATAATCCTATGGATTTTTTATATCAAAATTACATGTTATGATAAAATTTGGAGGTGTGCCTTAATTGGATTGTTTAAGGTTGTGCAACCTTATAGAAACCACACCCTTACACAAAACTCAGCAAGTCACCCAAGTTTAATAGTATAAGGTTGAGTCTCTAAAGTACCAGCCCAAGTACCTGTAAGGTACATATATCTGCCCTGTTCCAGATCTGAGTCACCTTGAGGAAGTTGAAAGGTATTGTCTTAAAGAGAAGGTTCTTCCTATAAAAAATTTCTATGATGGCGGCAACAAAATCCTCAACATGATCAGAATTGAGGCTAGCAATAGTATAGCACAGAAGACAAAGATTAAGAGGATGAAAATTTTGCTGGTTTGCTTTCAGTGACATAACATTAGCTATTATTTCTGATAGTACCATCTAACATAACCAAGATTTGTGTCCATGCAATGCTAGGTAAGTGACATGGAGCTCCTGTCTCAATCATTGAGATTGAGGATAGTATCCCATGCTTACCCAAATAACTATTAAATTAAAAAAAAAATGAAAGATATGAGATTTGCGCCTCCTTCCTAAATGCAGACTTATATAACCATACAAAATTATGGATTGACTTAGAAAGCTCTGCTCTGAGGCGTCCCTGCATCCAATCCCCTGCCTCCCCTTACCTTCTGCATCAACAATTCAACAAACACCTCCAGAACCTATTACAAACTCAATTAGACCCATGATCCCACTAAAGACCCTTCGTTACCTATAAACATTTTATTTATTCTTTTCAAGTGTTAATGGTGGCAATGGAGCCTAAGAGGTTATGTTGAGGATCTGCCCCCCTAACCACCATGGCCGGACCTCATTCCCCTATATCTCTTAGGTGTGGCATCAAACTTCCCGCAGCACATCAAATCAGACTGAAGAAACCAACAAGCTTTTCCTTCCACAAACCTCTAAAAATTGGTTTATCTATTTCCCCTCCTATTGTTGCATAGAAGGTCCCAAACTTGAAGCATTCTTTGATTTGACAAGGAACCCCATGCGACCTCTTCCACATCCAACATCTAAACCATGACAATAACAAGCAGTGAACCATCAAAAACAAAAAGAAAATCCCCATCAATTGCCTAGAGAATAATCAATTTCATATGGGGAAAAGATCCCGATGTAGGAAAACAACATCGGCCATTTCCACCACTAATGCAGGTGGTACACCCCATCTATTCAGAACTCTCCAGCAAACAACCCAAGGTAAACAGATATCTGGCACCAAGAAGGCAACAACCCCATGATGATCCCCATTCACTAATCCAACCACTCAAATCATGCTGGACATTGTCTGCTACTCTGCTACCTGATAGTACACATGCCATTCCTGGGGCTTTTTTGTTAGTAGATAATGGAGTAGCTGCTATATTTTATATATGTACATTCATTCAGATATGAAAAGGCAAGAACAAAAAGGGCAAAAAAAGAATGAGAAAAAAATACGAGGTAATACTTACAGTCAACAATGACATGAGAAGAGCCCAGTTCACAGTCCTTGTGAGAAACCTGCATCAATGCATATATAGAGTTGCTGAATAAATAGCAATGATTCATACTTGAGTGGTCCATGAAAAACAATTTGCATTTAACTTACTATTGTCAGGTAAATGAATCCTCAACTATCCATCATTGACACCAAACAGTTGAGATGTAAAATTACTCCACTCAAGTCCATAAAGCAAAACTTAGAAGACTTCAGTGGAGTATAACTTGACCATTCATTGTTGAAAATGGGCAATGGACAGTATGAGGATAAATTTACCATATTAACTGAATGGTAAATGCTATCATAGGATATCTAAGAAAAAATTCTACCAAACTTAACTTTTCATAGTTCCTAGCAATATTACCTTACATAGTTAAAGGGGCAAGAAAACACACTTACATAGTAAAATGAGAAATAGATTCAAAGTAATAAAATAGTAAACAATTAGGAGCACTTATATAAGTGCTCCCCCAGGAGCATACCATACATTTACTCCCTTGGGTAAAATAAATACTAGGGAGATTTTTATTTTTTTTTCGAAATTTTAGGATCCATCTAATTCCAACTAGATTATTTTCGAAGGAAAAAAATTTTGAATATTGAGTTATTGAACATCTAGATCATTCCCAAATTAGATGGTTCTAATGCAATCTTGGGATGCCAAATTTCCTTTTGACATACAGAGAATGAGAGTTAAATTTTCTTTTTTCTTTGAGGTTGGTCGGGTTCTAGAGATCACATCCATAAAATTTGGAATCTCAAAAATATTCCTAGTTTAAATTTTGATTTGATTCATGCACAAGCTCACTGGCAAGGACTAACAAGAAATTGGTACTATCCAGGTGCTTTTTCACCACCAAGGATCTCTTTCCAATAAGCCAAAGCAAATTGTTTTTCAAATAACTCATACAAATCAACGATATCAAATAACTCATACAAATCAACGACATAGGATAGTAATCAAATTCCCATGAGAAAGTTCTTCACATTTTTTTGAACTTACTTAATCCCAACCGGCGCACCAAAAACGATAGCTCCAAAAGCATTGACAAGAGCCCCTGCACAATAAATTTTGCACTTCTATAATTTACCTCAAAAATAACAATCACACAAATAAGTTTATAGATAGCAAAAACGCTGTAAATTTAATAAGTAATAAGCAACTTAATCAGAAACCTTTAGAAGTAATACAGAAGCATACAACACCCAGAGAGAGGCAAAGAAGAAGAGGAGGGGTGATTAATTAAAGGTCTCACCAGCAGGGAGGCCTAAGAGTCCACGCAAGATTGCCCATTTCAACTGTTACATAGAATCGCATTATCAATTTACCATGCCTTCCTAAATTTTTCTTTTTTTTTTACATACATTCACATATGAAACAAAGCCAGGCAGATTCATATGGATATAGCTTCATACCGAGCAATGCTCCAGTTTTTTAGAAAGCAGACTAAAACCCAATATCACGATGGGGCTCTCAAATAACTGCAAAACCATTTCACAGACACGATAATATGAGAAACTTTAACGAAAATTGCTAAATTTCTAGACTACTAGGGTGAGAGAAAATGTCTAAGGTGGGGCCAATTATAAGAGGAGATAGTTACCCACAAGATACAGATGGTTTGCAGAGGGTGGGTGGTGAGAGTCCAGCCATTAATAATCTGAGCAAAAAGGAGAGATGCCCAAACACTAAGGCCATTGATCAAATGAAACCCTAACTCCATTAATGGAGACAACTGAAATACATATGGAGTTCCTTTTTCTGATGCCATGGATATGAAGGTTCATGAAACAATATATCCTGATACAATCATGGAGAAATGATTCTTGTTATTTTATGGTACACAGAAGAGGGAAACTCAAAACATGGTAGGAAATTCTTGAAAGATCATTATAAGGCACTAAGGCCACTGAAATTTATTGCAAAAATATTACATTTGATCTGATCAATTTTAGGGCATATATCTTATTGAAATGTCTCAAAATGCCACAAGACAAACCTTGAAGCTGTATATAAATTAACAAAATGATGAGAACATGTGAAAAATAACCGAGATTTTAAATAGAGAGGGAGAGAGAGAGAAACTGCACTGTTCTTACTTAATTAATATGCCCAAAAGTTGCATGAATTAGCAGGTAGTCAGGAAGAGAGACGCATGCAGATTCCTGGAGGGAAGATCAAAAGGTTCTAAGAGGAATAATAGCCTAAATTTAAGAGAGAGAGAGAGGCTTGGAAGCTTGAATAAGAAGATTTGTTGGAAAAATGACATTTTACCGGTGGGTTTGATAAAAGAGTGGAGGTAACAAGTGGGGTGAAGCTCTGAGGGACTATGGATACACAATGGACTACAGAGTAGGAAGGGCAAGAAACAGGGGTGACGCTACTTACTTAGTGTCCCTTTGCATTTAAAGATACAGAATTTTGTCACATATACCTAGATGGCAGATATAAAGATAATAGAAGCACATACGAGAAAACTTAGGAGACTCACAAATATGTAATCCTCCAAACTGTCTCTTCAGCGGTTACTATCTCCAAACTGTCTCTTCAGCTGTTACTATCTCTCTCTCTTCACTCCACCCAAAGCCAAACAGTTGGCAGAGTTGTTTCATGCAGGACAATGACCCATCTAACACTTTCAGTCTATTTCTTGGCCTAGTTTATCCCCTTCCAAAAAAGAAAAAAAACCAAACAAAAAAAAAAACTACCCATATTTAGCTCTCATTGAGTTCCCCAAATCATTCCATGTATCTTCACGGAAAGTCCCCCGGCCCTCTACCTTGCCCAACCTTACTAAGCATAAGCTCAACAGAGTAGTCATCCTGATGGGCGGTCCCATCATGGCTTCTCTTCTCAGGGTGAAGGAAGATGGTGGGGATCCATACCTAAAGATTTTCATATGTATGATAAGATAGAAACAGATTGGAAATTCAAAGAAGGCATGGCCTTAACAAGTCAAGTTATGGAATTCCAAAAAGTTCAAATATGGACAGATTGAAGAAGTCCGATAGCTGTCGACTAGCAAATATCTTACATAACTTTAGGGAAGCACTCTTGAACAAAATTTAAACTGAGCAAAGAAGAACCACAGAAATGACACACTGGAAACTTGGACCTATTGCCCAAGAATCTATTCTTTGGAAGCACTATCTATTATAGCAAGTAAACCCCACAATGACAACACAGGAAAGAAGAAGAAGATGAACTTTGAACTTGAATACCGACGAGGGCTGTAATACCTACAACATCTCAAACCACTGATCATCCAATTACAAGCAGTGAAAACAGTAAATGTTCCATGTTAAAAACAATTCTACCCATGGAATTTCATCTAAAAAGAAAAGGAACTTCTTCTTCCAAGCAGAGAGAGAAAGTGAAATAACTCGATTGTGATTTCTGTGTTTATAATCCATACATGATTTGTGAGCAAATCCATCTCCAAATAATGGGTTCATAGAAATTAGAGAGAATTATCAAGTAGTCATCATATTCAGCAACAAAAGAAGATGACAGCAGTAAACATTTCAATAAAAAAAACACAGTGGCAATGGTGACACCATATTGCCCCATGGACGTCCCAAAAAATCAGTGAAAACAGTAAGGACTTCATGTCAAGAACTAGTATAACCCATGGAATTCCAATCAACACTGAAAAAAACTAGTAGAATCCATAAATGATTTGTGAACAAATCCATATCCAAAAAATGACTTCATAAAAATCAGAGAAAATCATCAAGAGGTCATCAATTCAGCAACAAAAGAAGATAAAGAATAATGGACAAGTTTCTTAAATGCAGGCCTTCACTTAACGCTCAATCCATTTCGGGCTATCTAAAGCTGCTTACCTTAGTAAGTTGAACTTTAGAACTAGTAACAAGTTTCTTAAATTCTTTTTCAAACAAATTTCTTAAATGTTTTTCTCAAACTGGAGTTTTGGTAGGAATTACTGCAATGCCGTATATTCGTAGACATGGATAAACATGCATTCGAGAGTGTTTATAGGTATATCTAAGATAAAGGTTTGTGTGTTCTAGACTATAGCGCTCACCGTCTTCACCTACTCATACATGTTTCTCAAGATCACCAGTGCTGCATTTTGGCCAAATATACTATGCATAAAACATCTCATCCAGCCAGCAAGACAAGCAATTGCCCAAAACTCTGGTTACTTTCAAAATAATTTCAACTAAAATAGCCAAATTATGATTTTTTCCAAGGCAATGAAGGAAGTATGAAACTGATGGTTTTTATAAACAAAAATTCAACCAAAGTAACAAACTCATGGCTCAGTAATGGCTCATTCATGAATGCTTCATGAATGCCACCTAGCACTCCGAAAAAAGAGGGGAAACAAAGCAAACCCATCTTGAGTTCTTGAAAGAATTGCTCAAAAACTGTGGTAATTTTCAAAGGGTATAGAATAGATGAACGAAAGTAGCAATATTAGGGCCTCTTTTCATTGACGAAGAAACAACAATAATGGGCCTCGCACTCTGAAAAAAGAAGGAAAAACAACGCAGACCCATCTTCAGTTTCACACAGGACCGCTCAAAATTATGGTTCTTTTTCAAAGCAATCCAACCAAAGCGGTAATATCAACATACATAGGGGCTGTTATCATAGATAACCAAAGGAACCGTATGGGCCCAGAGGGCTGCTAGATATGGACGGGAAGAAGATATTAACTTGAATTACCGTTAAAAAAAAAACAAAGATATGAACTTGAATTCTTCAGAAAAGCTCAACAGTCCCGAAAACGATCCAAGGAAGAAGGGATAATAAATAACAATAAACCTAGCAGAATAAAGCAAAACTTTTCAATAAAAACTGAAACAAATGCAAATTTTTCTCTTGAAGTAAAGATGTGAATTGAAAACTTAGGGTTTAATTATCCAAAAAAATGCACTTATTAAGAAATATACCAGATCCAGCTGCTAACTTTTTTTTTTAAGTTACAAAACAGTTAATACAGATTTTCTTTGTCTAAAGTTCATATATTATTTGTAAACAAATTCTTTTCCAAAAAATGCACAAACAAGAAAAAAAAAAAAGCAACATTTCCACAAATTTCAAGCATCCACACCATGAAAATATCAATTAAGCACCAATATAACAACAACAAAAAAATCAAGAGATGGAATAAACAAATGCAAGTTTTTGCACAACCTAGGATAACCTTGGAAAAGGCGCTGTATATTACCCTTTTTGCCCCTTTTCTCCCCCCCCTCTCAGTACTCAATTGTTGCAGAGACTATGGAGCTCAATCCCTTTCCCTCCGTTCACAACTTCTCCAAATCCTCTCAGCTTCTCACCCATTTTTTCCTTTCATTTTGTGCTCCATTTTCTGCCCTTTTTCTTAAGAGACGAACCACCCTGGCACCCTTTTTCTTCAGAGGCGAACCACCAGTGCTTCTAGCGGTCCGGGTGGCAACGGATCGGGTATGCGGTCGGGACCCGGCCCGACCTGTCAGATCCAAAAGTTGGACCATACATACCGACGACGCTGAAGGAGGCCTTCAATTGCGGACGTGGAAGAGGATACGCTAAAGTTTCGGATCTATCCCATCGGTACTTGGTTTAGTTAGAGTCCATTGCGACTTTCATTATTTTTTTATTTTTTATTTTTTATTTTTAGTTTTTTTTTTTTTAAGACATTAGATTTTAAGCTATTTGATTTGTCATTAATGACTAAATTTTTATTATATACTATCATTGATAAATATTCAACTGGTACAGTCGGGTCCAGGTTTTAGACCCAGGTACGACCCACCGGGTCTAAATGTTGGACCCATATCTAGACCCATATGAAATATACCCGATGGGTCCCGGTTTGGGTCTGGTCCATTGACACCCAAAGCTCGATGCTTGTTTTAACTGAGGCATAAATTTGGTAAGGTTGACGCCTTAAATTATTGAAGCAGGTGCATCTCAAAAATCCATTGAAAAAGGCTATTTTGACTTTAAAATTATATTTAATTGATCATCTCAATATCGAGAACAATATCGAGATGAATGAATATGTGTGAAAAAAATTCAAGTCCCAAAATAGAATATCTTGCAATAAAGTATTTGGACCATTCATTTTCAAGATTTACATGCATTCATAGATATGCTTGAACTAGTTTTAGAGTCTAAAATTTTATAAATAGAGACTATAAAAGATTTTTGAGCCATCTTATAAACTTTGACACCAAATTTGCATCTCATCACAAAGAAGGGACACCTTAAGGTTGCAACCTCATGGAAACCTCACCCTTAACAAAACAAACCTCTATAAAAAAAGAAGAGTGTGGTTTCTATAAGGTTGCAACATTAAACAATCCAATTAAGGCGCACCTCTAAATTTTATCATAAGAAATAATTTTGGTGTAAAAGATTATTAGGAATATCTGAAAATTTATTTTCATATCTAATTATAAAATTTTAAACTTGGTTAAAATCAAGTAGATCTATAAATATATGAAAATCTTGAAAACGGACGGTCTAGATAATGTGTTGCAAGATGCACTATTTTTTGTGCTCAAAATCTTATTTTTTTTCACATTCATTAATCTCGATATCGAGATGATCAATTATAGAGTTTTTCAACATTAAAACGACCTTTTTTGATGGATTTTTTAGGTGCATCTGTAATTCTACATTTTAAGGTTGCAACCTTATATGAACGTTTTACTCTTCATATTCCTTTTAATTATTATATCCATAAAACAAAATAATCAAACTTGGGAGATTACCATAACTAATACAAACAAATAAATTCCCAAACAAGGGTTCCATACCACAATTTTTCCGGGCGTCCTAGTTTTCTCCCATTTCATAGGGGTGTATGGGTCGTGTTTTAGATATCGACAGTTATTGATAATTACTAATGAATCTTATCATAGTCGAGAGAAGCATAGACACCCAATCTCATCAAGAGATATACACCCATACAGATACATATCCATACTGATATGTATCTATATGTATATCAATACTAACACAATACATGTCAATACGCTAACACCCCCCTCAAACTCAAGATACTTTGACACAAAGTAGTTGGAGTTTGAACAATACTAAGTTTGCATAAACAAACAAGTTGGATCTTCAGTTCTTCAGGTGCATAACGTGAGCGATAGAAGCAGTGGTTTTCATGCTCAGATTGCTTGAATAACAAGCACATAAAGCAATAACAGGCCTCATAAACAAACGGTCTCAGGAACAGACGGCCATATCAGAATAAGCTTGAGCAATCAGACAAAAAACTCCATATCTTCATCGGAGGCAAAACAACGCGGATCAACAAGCATCAGAAACATACGACGTTGGGAATAGACGGCCATATCTGAGGTGGATTTAGAGGCGGTTTCAAATCCGGCTCAATAATGGTCTGGCATTAGACAAGAGTCCGGTAGTAAAAATGTTTCGTGACAGTGGAGAATGTGACAATGACATGCACCAATCATCTCGTGCTCACCGATCTGCTAGTCGCAAAGTGCCTCGAAAATCTTCTGAATGCAACAACAATTATCAAGACAATGGGCAGGTGCCTCGAAAAACTTCTATATAAGTTGCGACTTCCCTGTCGGCATTTATGGATGCCTGATCCCCTGCGAGCATGCTTTTTGATTGGTCATGCAAATTGTTGCCTTAAGAGAGCATTGTTTGAATTTTTGCACATGACATTAACCAAATTGGCTTCAACCAAATCAATAGCAACTTTTTCTCTCTCTACTTTCCCCCTTGCAGCATCAATTCACAAAATCTCATGTACAAAATTTATTTGCACCATGTAGAGAGAGGGCTTGCAGTATCAAAAAATTCAAAATAAAACGGAAACAAAAAATTGACGAGTGATGCAAAGGAGACTACTGCTTTCGTGATGTCCCTATTGAGACCATGGGACCAAAAAGGGCGAAGGAGATTGCAGTGGACGTGTTGTACACCTGTTGCAAATTGAACGGAAGCAAGGGAGGCGAAGGCAGAAGCAAGGGAAGCAAATTTGAACGGAAGCAAAGGAGTACGCAAGGTTGAAGAAAAACAGAAGCAATATTTGTTTTTTTATTTTTTATTTTTTATTTTTTGCTTGGGGAAGCAAATGACGGGTGGATGTTTTGCAGAGAGTCGAAACACGACTCGACAGAAAGGCAAATCAGAGGTTTACTGAAAACATAATGAAATTTCTGGAATGAATCTGAGGCATCGATGTGGATAGGCTAGGGAGGCTACGTTATTGATGAGCTTAGATATGAAGTTAAGGATTCTATGGCTCTGATACCATATTAAAATCTCAGAATACTATAAAAAAAATCTCGGTATATTAATTGTTAAAGAATATACAACACCCGTATAAATATACAACTTGTAATAGTTTGGGATAGATACCAACAATTATTGATAATTACTAACTAATCTTATCATAAGCAAGAGATGCCTAGAAACCTAATCTTATCAAGAGATATATACATATACAGATACATCTATACTGATATCTATCCATAATGATGTATATCAATACTAATACGATACATATCCATACGTTAACACAATTTGGGGTAAATAGCTATTAGGTTGATCATGAGACACAAGGACTGAGAAACAACATAAAAATAATCACTTTGAGTCTAATAAATGGATTTGACTCAATGAGATATCCCATAAAACATCAAGAATGGGTTCGTTGTGATCAAAATATGTTTCATATGTTTTAACCAGATGCAAACTTAGAAACTTACCCTATTGACCTCCAAGTGACTCGAAACATGGAAGAAAAACAGTAATGTTCTAACAAGGCTGTGCTCATGGTGTTTGTGTCATGTCTAAGGCATACTATAAATTTTGTAGTGGTCAAGCGTGACCATGGAATGCCTGACCATGTTTAAGCAAGATTATGGCTCAAAAACTATTCTAAAAGTTTTCAAGAAAGTTGGACTCCATTTGATGTGTTTAAGAATTTGCCACCCATAAATCACATATTAGGCCCCTGATTGAGATATAATTTTATAGTTGTTCCTACTCATCTCAAAATCACAATTTGGATAGAATAGTTCATTAGACATCGGGAGGCTGCATTTCAAATTTCATCCTATTGGATCCATGTTGAGGCAAATTTGAAAATTCACCTCGGCCAAACTTGGCCATGAAAGACCTGACTGCTCCTGAATTAGAAATACGATTGAACTATGCCCATTTGATAAGAAATTTGGTGGAATGGCTATATGATGCATGTAAGCTTCTATGTTAATCTTAAGAAAGATTGAGCAAAATTGATGAATGTTTGAAAATTCATACACGTCAAACTACAAGCCCATCTCATGACCGAGGTAAAATTTTGAAAATATTGATAGACCATCCCATGATCACTTAGAACTTTGACAGAGTGATTCTTGATTTATTGGGGGGCATGTTAAGTTTTATAACATTTGGGCTTCATTTCTTGATACTTCAGAAGTTTGTTGCATTCAACTATTAGCCAATGCACGTGACCGCGATGAATTCTCGAGTTCTGAGATTTTGCATTAAATTCGATTGTGAAAAGTTAGTAGCCGTTTATAAACATATGTTAGATAGGAATCAATAATTCTTGTCCAAAATATTAGCCATTAAAAGCCTTGAAACTTGATAAATCTTAAAAAAATTAAAGATCAAGTCTTATCAGTATAATATTGTGGCCTTTTAAATTAATCCAAATAGTCCAATATGCATGGGGACAAGTAAACTCAAAATTTAAGGTGATAAACTTGGATGAATATGGATTGATTCAATAAAGATAAACTTAGATTTAGAGACAAAATCCACAAGATACTATTATTCATAGCTTGACAATGACAAAATTTTAAGACATCAATATGTCTTGATTTCAATTGCTATTCCCTAAGATTTTTGCATGGATTTTGAAGCACATAAGAGGCCAATCAACCTAGCAAAGGATCGAGGCTAAAACATTCAACATTTAGCAATGATTTTGAGATATTGATCAATTGTTGTTGCAGTTATGATTGCAACAAATATTTTTTTTAATCTAGAACTTATCTAATCTTAATTGAATAAGTGCAAGAGGGATACTCCTCTATCATGTAGTGGCTCGGCTGAGAAGAGGAAGATGTTTCATCAATCAAATCACCATCATCTCCTCAACCAACTTTGTAAGTTGTTCGAAGGGTTGTAACTTTAATTTTGGAGAATAATAGATCATTCTCGGGGCAAGAACTTTACCAAAACATATTCACAGCATCATTGTGAACACAGAGGCTGAATAGAGAACTTCCAAAAGAAGAAAAACCAGAGATTTAAAACATGAAGCAAAGTAACAGTACTTGAAGAACGAGAGTAGTTCAACGCACTTATAACGTAACCAGGTATACCATTTCTTTATAGGTTATTCGGTTAGTGTATGTATGTTTCTTTTTCTTTTGACCCTTAAAGCTTTGTACACCCAGATCAAAAGGGTATTCCACCATCTTTACGTGATTGGAATATAACAAAAATCTTAAGTGTCATTTGTACTCTTTCAAATCCAATAGTAAAATAAAAAGCCCTCAATCTTCATACAATCATAGGTTGGTTTGGTCATCAAAGTGTTTCATGCTCTTTTTTATTTTTTATTTTCTTTTGAGTAGGGAAAACTACATCTTCTATTAACAAATGTACCCAAAAGGTGTTTCGGTTTTGTTTTATCTGAATAAAAACTTATCCCCAACCTGATATACCATACTACAATGTACTCTTCATAGTTTAAGACAAAAGAAAGATAAACATAGGAGAGAAAACTTAAAATACCTCGAACATCTATGTAGGAGAGAAAGTGTGGGAGAGATGGAAAACCAGTTAATGGAGACATTAACATGATGAGAGTTGTATTTATGAAAAAGAAAGAGGCATACAAATTGTATTTTTGTTCCTGAAAGCGAGAGAAGAGAAGAAAACATGAAAGTTGTATTTTTATTTGTGTTTTGAGAGAGAGAGTTATCTCAGACACCGGCAAAGAGAAGGTGCGGAGAAGTGAGGGAGCATCTAGAGTTTTGTGTATGCACAACACATCAAAAAGTGGATAAGAAATGACAATGATATCCAAATGTTGGAAGAAGGGACAAAACAAGTAGCCTGATGCACATTTGGATAATGAACACCTTAGACACTAAGATTTTGAAGGTTCTTCCCAACCCTTTATTGGCGTTGGTATTTTGCTTCTTTAAGATAATTGATATTTTATTATTCCTTTTCATCTACATTATTATTTGACTTTATAAAAATAAGGAAAACCTTTTGTCTTCCCTTATAGCAAGTTGGAGTAGCTATTATAGGGGAGCTATTTGTGTTTGTGTGGTTGAGTAGGGCCCTACACAGAGAGAGAGAGAGAACATAGAGAGAAAGAGGGAGAGAGAGAGAGAGCATAGAGAGAGAGAGGGATAGAGAGAGAAAGGACATCGAAAAGAAGAGACGTGTAAAGAAAGGAGTGAGGGATAGATATGGGGTAAATGAGAGGGTTAGGTGGCAAGTCGACTATGAAAACTTTTAAACACAGAGAGGCATATGTATTATGAAGTTTTGAATATGGACGGATGAAGAAGCACTCTTTACACTTTTTTTTTTTTGGGCAATTCAGAGGGGAAGACATGCTCCTACCCGTATTTTTAAGTAGATTAGGAGTTAGGTTTTTTTTTTTAGGCATTCGTGGGGTGATGTTAATGGTGGGAATAAAAACTACAATATGGTGCCCAGGATGTGGGGTGCTACCACCATGACCCCAGCCCCATTCCCAACTCTCTCTGTGCTCTGATGGTTAACAATACCTGTATCTTAAGTTTTTTTTTTTTTAAAAAGATGAGGTTTCTATAAGGCATTGGCTTTATGAAAATAAAATAAAGCTTTACCTCAATTCCTCGTTCGGAAAGCACTTTCGACAACATAAATCTCTATGATGGCTCTAAAATCAATTTCCAATGCTGACAATCAAATTCAAAACTAAAAAAATAATACAGATATTGCGGATCTATGGAGACTTATTTTTAGCGCAAAATGATGGTCTAGATAATTTTGTTACAATATAGACTATTTTTAGAGTGTGTGATCATTTTTTTTTTTTTTTTTCAACCATAATGTTCAATCCATATGATCAATGTAAAGGCTTTCTACTTGAATTGCATTTTTTGATGAGTTATAAAGAGAGGCTTTAATTATTTTGATACGGCTGCAGCCCTATCAAACTATTTTTCTATTTTTAATGGTAATATTTAAATTTAGAAGATTTCTGTAACAATCCTAAAATTAAAAAAAAAAAAAAAGGAGAAAAGATGCTTTTAAATAGGTGATGGCCTGTTTGAGTATGATGGTCCTTGGGGACCATCACTATTTTCAAAAACTTTTACTTCGTTTAACTTTTGCTTGCTTGTTTTGCTTGCTTGCTTTTGCTTCCTGCTTGCAGCTGGCAACGTCCTTTAGTGGACGTGGTTTTCGTACGTTAAAAGCCGACTTTTAATGCGACACCTCAGGTATGAGGTAGAGCGTAATAAAATAATATAATAATACGTTATAAGAATTTAAATAGGGGATGTGAGCACTCCCACCCTAAAACAAAATTTTGAGATCTTTCTCTCTCTAGTCGAAACACAGTGAACTCCTCTCTCAAACCGAATTTTTTTATCGGAAGCTCCCTCCCAAACA